AAAAAAAAAAAAAAAAAAAAGAGATCCTTTTGCATCAGCTTCCCAGGTATGGAACTACAGGGATGCTCCACCATGCCCGGCTAGTTTTTTCTATTTTTAGTAGAGTAAGGGTCTTGCTTTTGCTCAGGCTGGTCTCCAATCTCTGAACTTAAGCAATCTACCTGCCTCGGCCATCATAACAGCCATCAAATTAAATGCTATTTTCTTCAAGAAGTTTTCCTTGATTACACCAATCTGAAGTGGTCACCCCATGTCTGCCCTCTTACAATACTTGGTTTACTATCACCTATATGACAGGCATCACAAGCGTGGTAGAGTGTACAGTGCTTAAAATGTGCCTTTTTTTCCTTCTGGCTATTTTTACATACTAGAATATGAATTCCTTAGGGTAAGGAGCACTGCCTCACCCAACTTTTATTCAATTTAATAAACACAGTCACTACATTGGTTGAAAAAGATAAAAAGTTGAAGAGGACATTTTTTTAAAAACTTTTTCCTCTGAGTTTTTAAAAAAGTCATATACACATAGATCATGAATACATCTTTAGCTTATGATCTAGTGAAGGGAGACAGACTCATAAATAATTTAAGTCATAACTCATAATAACTACAATAATTGGTAAGTGTTATAGAAGCAGCATTAAAAAGACTGCTATGGATAACAAAAGAGGGGACGCCCTGCAAAGAGATTCACTACATAAATATCGAAGGAATCTGTAGAGGCTAAGATGAGAGGGCTGCTTGTTGTATATGAGAGCAGACAGGGCACAGGAACAAGACCAGATGCAAGTGGGTACCATCCACTTGGCGGGGATGGGAAAGTCGAGGAAAGTCAAGGTCGGGTCCTAAGGGTGGGCGGGGTTGAAGTGGTTGGCCCGGGGGAGGTTTAGAGGGCGCTGAGGCAGGAAGAGGTAAGATCCAAGTAGAAGAGGGCTCAGCACAGTACCTTTCTCATTGCGAACCGGGACGGCCCCAGCCGTCGACTGAATCGGCGGTTGCTTCATGAGTGAGCTTGGGACCGACATGTTGACAGCAGCGGCGGCGATTCCCGAAACTTGATTGATTCCAAACAGTGAACACCAACAACGTCAACGAACAGAATAAAAATCCTTCCCACCTACCCCACAGAATACTACTGCGTGACAGACAGGAACTACGTACGGCAGAGCAGGATAAACCGGAAATAGCGGACCAGAGGATTGTGGGATAGTGGAGGACACGAGGGGCGGGTACAGCTATAAAGTTGAGTGTGTTACTGCGCATGTTCATAGATTGCGCATGCGTCCTCAGTGTTGCGGAGTTTGGAGTCCTCTACTGGCGGGAAATTGGTGCTTTGGGGCTTTGCTGTTAAGGCCCTGTGGCGAAGACCGTGCGAATGAAAGGTTTCACGTGTTGTCTTAGGCGAGGGAGAATGGGACAGTAATAAGAAACTGAGTAGATAATAGGGTTGAATGCTCAGAAAAATTAGAGTTTGATAGAACAGAAATCTTGCGAACGGCACCTGGTTAGCTCAATGGATGAGGCCTAGGTGGGCTGTGGTGCGGTATTCGGTGGTCAGAAGAGGGCAGGTGATGGTAATTTAAGCCAGAGACAAAAGAAAAAAATTCCCCAAGGGGCCTGGGACAGTCAATGCCTGAAATCCCAACACTCCACTCATAGGCTTTCAGGTTCTTCTAGTTTATGAAAACCATTTTTAAAAATACGTTCCTGGGGGCGGCGCCTGTGGCTCGGCGAGTAGGGCGCCAGCCCCATATACCGAGGATGGCGGCTTGCCGGGCGTTGTGGCAGGTGCCTGTAGTCCCAGCTGCTGGCGAGGCTAAGGCAGGAGAATCGGCTAGGCCCAGGAGCTGGAGGTTGCTGTGAGCTGTGGTGCCACAGCACTCTACTGAAGGCGACGAAGTGAGACTCAGTCTTTAAAAAAAGAAAAAAGTACGTTCCTGGCTGTAAGTTGTTTGTATTTCTAAGTTAAGTAATTAGTGTTTACAGTGCTTAGGGCTCATAGAGGAGTGAGTATGGAATATTGTTAAAAGGCCCATTCCCTCAAGGAGCTTGCATTTTAGCAGCCCTAGTTTACAAGTTAGGTTGTGTGTGTGTTTTTAAAGGCTAAAGTTAGAACACATCTCACAGTAGGTAGGAAAGACTTTATATTATAAACTGCTTTGGTGGGAAATCATGAGCAAAGTCTTTAAGTCCAGAAATAGTATGGTATATATACGATACAATGAAAAGTTCAGGTTTATTAGTAATTTTTTTTTTTTTTTGAGACAGTCTCACTCTGTTGACCAGGCTAGAGTGCAGTGACGTCAGCCTAGCTCAAAGCAACCTCAGACTCTAGGGCTCAAGTGATTCTCTTGCTTCAACCTCTGAGTAAGTGGAAATATAAGCACCCACCACAATGCCAGCAAACAATTTTTTCCATTTTTAGTAGAAATGGGGTCTCCTTGCTCAGGCTGGTTTTGAACTCATGAAAGAGATCCTTCCACTTTTGCCTCCCAGAATGCTAAGATTATAGGTATGGGCCACTGCCACCAGGCTAGTAATTTTTTGAGACAGAGTTTCTGTCGCCCTAGGTAGAGTGCCACGCTGTCATAGCTCACAGCAACGAAAAACTCTTGGGCTCAGGAGATTCTCTTGCCTCAGCCTCTTAATAGCTGGATTAGGGGCACCCTCCACCACACCTCGCTAGTTTTTCAATTTTTTTTTTTTTGAGACAGAGCCTCAAAAGTGTTGTAGAGTGGGTAGAGTGTTGTGGTATCACAGCTCACAGCAACCTCCAACTCCTGGGCTCAAGCGAGTCTCCTGCCTCTGCCTCTCAAGTAGCTGGGACCACAGGCGCCTGCCACAACACCTGGCTATTTTTTGGTTGCAGCCATCATTGGCGGGCCTGGCTGGATTCGAACCCGCCACCTTAGGTGTATGTGGCTGGCGCCTTACTTGAGCCACAGGCACTGAGCCTAGTTTTTTAATTTTTGCTGGGGACGGGGGTCTTGCTCTTGCTCAGGCTGGTCTCCAGCTTCTGAGTTCAAGGGATCCTTCTGCTCAGCCTCCCAGAGGGCTGGGATTACTGGCGTGAGCCTCTCCTCCACCCAGCAAAGAGTGGTGAAAGTTCGTCAGGTACTAGGTCATGGATGGTCTTGATGGTGCCATTGATACAATTAACTCTTAAGTTATGTCACCTGTAGTAGAATTGGGCCTCAGCTGGGAAAGGAAATGAAATTTGGAAAAGTCTTAAGTAAAGAACAGTGGCAGATCCACTTAAGCAAGGAAACAGTTTTGGGCTAGAAAGAAAGAACTTTAAAGAGTAGACAATTTCATATTAGGAATTTATCAGTTCAAAAAACTTTGTTGTTCAGATGAAAAGGCAATTGTTTAGGCCCATGGTAACCCAGAGAATAAGAAAAAAAAGACCTTAATATGGCTGTGAGTATACGAAATACAATGCACTAAAATCTTATTTTGTGATAGATGAATTATTTGATTCATAGTTTTGTCCCAGACTTTCCGTCCTTTAAGGTCACCCTTAGGATCTTTAGGTAATGGGTCAGGTGAATGGTAAACGGTCAGGGTGAATTGAAACCAGCATAAGTTATTAGCTGTTGGGGTAAAAAAGCTCTTGCTAGGAAGAGAGTAATACAGTATCAATGGGCAGGATTTTCTGGTCGTGAAGTTACTATGTTATCAGGAAGCAGTATGCCAGGCTAAGCTGTATGTTAATTTTGATTTCCTTTCCTTTCCATTCTATAAGCATCTAACATTGTAAGGCAAGGTTGTTTCTCCTTAGCAGAAGAGTCAGTGTTTTTCAAAGCGAGATCTCAGTATCAACCATCAAAATCACCGGATCCAAGGTAAAAACGCTGGCTGATTCAGTCCCACAACATCCCTAAAAGAATTTGAGTCTCAGGGTGAGGCTGTAAGGTGGTCGTTTTCTTTTTCTTTTTGTGTGTCACGGGGTCAGCCTAGTTCACAGCAACTTCAAACTCCTGGTTCAAATGACCCTCCTGCTTCAGCCCTGGGAGTAGCTGGGACTACAGGTGCCTGCCTGGCTAATTTTATTTTTAAAAGAAACTAGGTCTCGCTCTTGCTTAGGCTCGTCTCGAGTTCCTGAGCTCAAGCGATCCAAGCCTGAGCCTCGCAAAGTATTAGGATTGTAGGTGTGAGCCACCGCGCAGGGCAAGGCGGCCTTGGTAAGCCACAGAGCCTTCGGACGCGGTTCCACCTCCCCCACCCTCCGGGCTCCGCCCCTCTCCTCCACCCGCCGCAATATTGGCGGGAAGACTCGGGCTGCAAAGTCGCGGAAGATGTCGGGGTCAGGTTCAGCGGCTGGGCAGGCGGCTTCCAGACAGCCACCTCCTGTGAAGGTGAGAAATTGGTTGAAGTTTCCCTGAATGCTCTTGACACACTTTTTTTGTTAAGGGTAGTCTGGGCAACCTCGCACCAGGGATAAGGGGAGAGCCCTGCCTGGATTTTCCTCTTTGGAAAACTAGGCATTTAGTTTCTGCCCTGGAAATAGGGGCAGGGTCAGATGTGAGATTCCCTATCTCCAGCCCTCTGCGTTTGCTTTTTCAACAGTTACTGTCAGCCTCATACATTTTTTTTTTTTTTTTGAGGCAGAGTCTCACTTTGTTACTCTTTGTAGAGTGCTATGGTGTCACAGCTCACAGAAACCTCAAACTCTTGTGCTTAAGCAATTCAATTGCCTGAGCCTCCCCAGTAGCTGGGACTATGGGCGCTGCCACAATGGCCAGCTATTTTTAGAGACTGGAGGGGGGCGGCGGGGGTGTCTCGCTCTGGTTCTGGCTTGAACTTGTGTGCTCAGGCAATCAGCAATCCACCCGCTGCGGCCTCCTGGAGTGCTAGGATTCCAGACATGAGCCACTGCGACTGGCAAGCTTCATACTCTTAAACAATTTCAGTTAATCCGAAGCTGATAGAGTAGATTGGGGTAGTTTCTTCAGTTACAAATGCTAGTCATTATTGGTCTGGCCAACCTATATGGGCATGAAGTGCCCAGGAAATGAAGAATTCTGTGCAGGATAGTGGATTACACATCAAGATTTTGGAGGGGAAACAAGTTCCCTTATAGGCTATGGATTTTGATTTATGTTGTCATTTTGAAATAGGAATTAGATTTGTTTAAACAGATCTGTTGGGACCTTGTAAGAAAAAGTATAGGATCTAGGATTCTAATGCTCTTTTTTTTTTTCTTTACCCAAATAGGAGAATGAATATAAAGAAAATCAAAACATCACTTATCTATCTCTGAATCCAGTACAGACTACGCTTTTAAGAAAAACAGCTAAGGTTTATCTTGCCCCCCTTTCACTCAGTAATCTAGACCAATTTAAGTACTCCGAATTCCTGTTAGAAAAGAATTCTGATAATGAAGTGGCCTGTGAAGAGTATAAGACTAAAATAAAGAAAACCTGTGCAAAGATTTTAACTCCAAAGATGAAAGCCACATCTTCCAAGGCGGAGTCCACTCTTGAAAAATCATCCTTAGATGTTTATACTGAAAGTGACAAGCTACAAGACAAGAGCAACTCAGATGCTGTGATTCTCAGTGTTGATATGGAAAGCAGTCAGGATGGAGATAGTGATGAAGATACTACACCAGGCCTGGTAAGAATTTAACTAGCAGCTTCTTGTGATTTTTTTTATTGTTTTGAAATGTGAAGTTAAGCTAAGATTATCAATGATTTCTCTAGTTCCAACAAATTATTATTATTATTTTGTATCTTATTTATTTTTTGGCCGGAGCTAGGTTTGAACCCACCACCTCTGGCATATGGGGCCAGTGCCCTACTCCTTTGAGCCACAGGCGCTGCCTTTTGTATCTGTTTTTTTTTTGGCCAGGGTTGGGTTTGAACCCGCCACCTCCAGCATATGGGGCCAGCGCCCTACCCTTTTGAGCCACAGGCCCCGCCCCAACAAATTATTTTATCATCTAATGTAAGTTTAGTTGAAATCTTCCTTCTCTCTTTTTTTTTTAAGAGACTGAGTTTCACTTTATTGCTCTCGGTAGAGTGCTGTGGTGTGCTCACTGCAACCTCCAACTCCTGGGCTTAGGCGATTCTCTTGCCTTAGTTTCCTGAATAGCTGGGACTATAGGCGCCCGCCACAACACCTGGCTATTTTTTTGTTGCAGTTTGTCTGGGGCCAGGTTCAAACCTGCCACCCTTGTCAGTACATGGGGCCCGCACCCTACCCACTGAGCTACAGGCACCGCCCAATGCCCGACTATTTTTAGAGATGAGGTCTTGCTCTGGCTCAGGCTGGTCTTGGAGCCTGTGAGCTTATGCAGTCCACCTGCCTCAGCCTCCAGAGTGCTAGGATTATAGGAGGGAGCCAGTGCTTCCAGCCCCTAATTGAAATTTTATTATTTTTAATATTTAGCAATTAACTCTTTTGGGTTAATTTTGTTCTTGGTCTTCATGTGTCAAGGAGCGGATTGACTTAATCTTTACTCTACTTTCCCTTTTCCTCCTCTAAACTTATTGCATATACAGTATTTTTGGGTTTACTCATACTTTACGGTACATCACATTCAGATGTTTATGCACAGTATACCAAAAGTCTTCTGCTTGTGGGACTTAATGGTGTTTTACCCTTGATATCAGGGTAGGAAAACGATCATCAGTTGATCTTACTGATGTGCTGAATTATATTTCTTTTAAATACAAAAGGAGACAAATGACAGAGTAGAAAATATGCTTGAGACACAATAATTTTATGTAATAGTTACACTCAACTTATGGAATTAGTTCTAATTTTTTTGGTTTTTTCTGCTTTCTAGGAGTATTATGCTTCATTCATAGTTACAAATTTTATGAAGGACGAGATGAAACCATACTTACCACATGACAAAAGGCTAGAACTAGGGAACAGACAATGATGGTAGGGAAAGGCAGATATAATACTCAAAAGAGTTATTGTTATGAAATAAGATTTTAATTTATGCTTTATTGCACCAGAGGTAAGAACCAGAGATTGTGAGACAGCATGGGTTAATGTTTTTTTTTTTTTTTTAGAGATAGTCTCACTTTGTTGCCTTTGGTAGAGTGCTGTGGTGTCACAGCTCACAGCAACCTCCAGCTCTTGGGCTTAGGCGAGTCTCTTGCCTCAGAATCCCGAGAGCTGGGACTATAGGCGCCTGCCACAACACAACAAAAAAAGCTATTTTTTTATTGGAGTTTGGCTGGGACCAGGTTTGAACCCTTGGCATATGGGACTGGCGCCCTACTCACTAAGCTACAGGTGCTGCCCAAGACAGCGAGGGTTAATTGTTAAATGTACTGAACTGGGGGTTTTGAACCTAATTTCTGGGTCTGAATACTTCTAAGAAACCTTATTCCTTTAAACAAATTACCTCCATAGTCAGTGGTTCTCTGAGTGGTTCTTAGCTTTAGCCTGTATCAGAATTATCTGGAGAGTTGTTTTTTCTTTTTTTTTTCTTTTTGGAGAGCTTGTTCAAACTCCATTGCAGGGCTTCATGACCAGAGTTTCTCTTTTTTTTTTTTTTTTTTAGAAAGAGTCTCACTATGTTACCCTTGGTAGAGTGCTGTGGCATCATAGCTCACAGCAACCTCAAATTCTTGGGCTTAGGTGATTCCCTTGCCTTAGCCTCCTGAGTAGCTGGGACTATAGGCACCTGCCACAACACCTGGTTATTTTTTTGGTGTAGTTGTTGTTTAACAGGCCCAGGCGGAGTTTGAACCTGCCAGCCCTGGTGTATGTGGCCGGCACCCTAACCACTGAGCTATGGGTGCCACGCTGACCAGAGTTTCTGATTAAGAAGTTTAGAGTTGGCTGGGTACCTGTAGCTCAAGTGGCTAAGGCACCAGCCACACCAGCCACATACCAGAGCTGACAGGTTCGAATCCAGCCCCGGACTGCCAAACAACAATGACAACTGCAATCAAAAAATAGCTGGGCATTGTGGCAGGTGCCTGTAGTCCCAGCTACTTGGGAGGCTGAGGCCAGAGAATAGCTTGAGCCCAGGAGTTGGAGGTTGCTGTGAGCTGTGTGATGCCACAGCACTCTACCCAGGGCGACGGCTTGAGGCTCTGTCTCAAAAAAAAAAAAAAAAAGTTTGGAATTGGGGGGATGCAATTTGCAGGTCGAACATAGTTTCTTGGAGACTGATGCTGTTGGTCCAGGACTGCACTTTGAGAGGACCACTGGATTAGAATATCTCTTTAGTCTCTTAGACTATAAGATTCTGAGTATGTAAGGTAAATATAAAGCAGATTTTAGTGTGATATAAGGAAATAGGATCATAAATTAAAACATGAGGTGTTGAGTAGTATAGCACTCAACAGCAGAGTGATGAATACCCAGCATACATTTTCTTTGGACAAACTGTATGTAAAGTACAATATTTCTTAAAGAACATTTTGTTCTTTTATTCTCTTCCCTTTCATTATCATTTTGGAATAATATGACTAAGGCTTTGTGGTCCCTTGTTTTAGGAATAGAATTTAGTTTATGAGCGTATTTCTTCCTGAATGAAGACTTTTGTCACATCACAGAAAAGAGTCTTGGCCTGCAAATCTAGGATTTTGTTCTGTTTTCTGGGAAATTAAAGAAAAAAAATCTCATTAAATATTTTCATTTCATAAAGCACTTCTTAATTTTTAAAAAATTTTGAGATAATTGGAGGCTTACAGAAGAGATGCAAAAATAGTACAGAAAATTCCTCTGTACCTTTCACTTATATTAACTGTATGTTAATATCTTACATAACTTCTTTTTATGTTAGATTAGATTAGATATCTAATATCTAACATAACTGTATGTTAACATCTTATCAAACTAAGAAATTAACAAGGTATAATACTACTAACTAAAGTGCAGAACTTATTAGGATTTCAACAATTTTTCCACTGATGCCTTTTTTCTATTCCAGTATCTACTCCAGGATCACACAGTACATTTAGTTGTCATGTCTCTGTAGTTTCCTCCGATCTGTGATAATTCCTCTGTCTTTCATGTCTTTGAAATTACTGGACAATTATTTCACAAAATGTCCCTCAATTTGAGTTAGTCTGATATATTTTTTTTTTTTGAGATGGTCTCACTATGTTGCCCTGGGTAGAGTGCTGTGACTTCACAGCTCACAGCAACCTCAAACTCTTGGGCTTAAGTGATTGTTTTGCCTTAGCCTCCCAGGTAGCCGGGACTATAGGTGCCTGCCACAATGCCCAGCTATTTTTTTATTGTAGTTCTCACTGTTTTTAGGAGGCCCGGGCTAGGTTTGAAGTCACCAGCCCAGGTGTATGTGGCTAGTGCCCTAACCACCAAGCTACAGGTGCTGAGCCTGTCTGATATTTTCTTATGATTAGATTTGGGTTTTGCATTATTGGGAAGGATACCATGAAAGTGAATGTGTCCTTAGTGTATCATGTCAGGGTATACGTGATGTTGGTTTGTTTTACTGGTGATGTTCACTTTGATTACTTGGCTAAGGTGGTGTCTGCCAGGTAAACTGCACTGTTAAGTTACTTTTTTTCCCTTTATAATTACTAAATTTTGGGGGGGAGGTACTTTGAACATATACAGCATATTTTTCTATTGACACAAAACACAAAATTCGCATAATACAAAACCTAATATTTAAAAGTATACGGTTTAGGGCAGCACCTGTGGCTCAGTAAGTAGGGCACTGGCCCCATATACTGAGGGTGGTGGGTTCAAACCAGGCCCTGGCCAAACTGCAACAAAAAGTAGCTGGGCATTGTGGCAAGTTCCTATAGTCCCAGGTAGGAGGCTGAAGCAAAAGAATCGCCTAAGCCCGAGAACTGGAGGTTGCTGTGAGCTGTGACGCTTTGGCACTCTACTGAGGACAACGGAGTGAGACTGTCTTTTTTTTTTTTTTTT